TTTAGGGGTGTAGGGTGTAGGGTTCAGGGGTTTAGGGTTTAGGGGTATAGGGTGTAGGGTTTAGAGGTATAGAGTTTAGGGTGTAGGGTTTAGGGTGTAGGGTTTGGGGTTTACGGGAAGTAGGTACAACTATAGTTGCCCTGCTTGTCCCTTACAGCCGAATTGACTAAGGCCCATGGTCCTTCGAGGAGGGGCACTTTTAGACCCTTCCGTTCCCAGACCCCTCAAGGGAGGATCCAAGAAGGTAGATTCCCTTAAGAGGGTTCCCTTTAGTAGTTAGGGTCCCAAATTAGGGGATCTACTTTCTAGATCCTCCCTTAAGAGGGTTCCTATAAAGGTACCCTTTAGTAGTTAGGTCCTCAAATTACCCGGAGGTCTGGGTTTAGGACTCAGGGCGCAGGGTCTAAGCGTCTACCCCTTCATCTTAACCCCCAGACCCTCGGGACCCTAAACCCTACACCCTTTGTGGGTTGGGGGCTTTAAGGTGTTCGAATTACTTGGCAGCCGTTCAGTAAGGACCGGCCTGTACCGCAGAAAGCACACTACAAAATCCCAAACCCCACTTAAAGCTAAATAAGCCATGAAGTCCAGCACCCGCACCTTTCGGACTCCAGACTGAGGCATCACAGCCGCAAGAACCGAAGCCCTAAGACCCGAAAGCCCTTAGCCATCCCAAGCCCTAAAGCCCTGAAGCCCAAAACCTGCCTTGTAGTCTGGGCCCCTAAAAAAAGGCCCCCTAAGCCCTAAACCCCAAACCCTAACCCCTAAACCCGAAACCCCGCTTGACCCCGAGGTTGCCACGGCCGTCACAACAGGCCTGGCTCTTTCTATGCTTTGGCACTCGGGGTTTTGGGTGTGATAGGGTTTCAATACCTTCCTTATGGATTATTGTAGGGCTGCAGGCTATTAGGGTTCAGGGTTTAGGGGTTTAGGGCTTAGGGTTATCATCTAGATGGGACTGTAGTGCAGTACTGCAGTATACCGCATAACCTTACTTCAAGCATTCGGTCTCCTCTAGGTCAGGATGCCTCTCTTCATTGAAGGTAGGAACCTCTGGATACTTGAGTGGATTTCCGAGGTTCCGTGTGGGGTTTAGGGGTTTAGTCTGTTCTGCCAGCTCCCACTCAACTTGCTGCCTCGAACGCTACATCGCCCTCCATCCTACATCCTGGAAGGCCAGAGAATATCGCGGTCGGAATAAGTAGTGATGCTATTCTTCAGGGATCCATATCATACTTTCAGTATGGTATGACCACCGAAGGCCTAGGTAATTAATGGGGCACCTACTTTTGGATTTTTTGGTTTTAGGGGCCCGATCGCCCAGCCGGAAACTTCCCTTAGTTCCCATAGTTCACCCCAGCAAGCAGTCCAATCACTGTGCAACCGTCTTGTAAAGGCACCAAAACGGTTTAGGGTTGCAGGGGTTTGGGTTTAGGGTTTAAGGGTTTAGGGTGTAGGGTCTCGCAAATGGCCCAAACCTCAGACGCCTGCAACTAAAACCTTAGACACGAAACCCTAGGCGTGACCCTTTGTAGAACCCGTGTAGATCCTTATTGAACCCTTAAAGATCCCGTGCAGTCTGTTGTAACATCTTCAATAACATGACTAACCACCCATCCCCCAAGCAAAAGGAGAACTTACAACCCTGCCCTAAACCCTTGAGCCTAAACTCTAAACTCTATAGGCATGTCTAGGCCCTAAAGGCGATTCCACAAACCTAGACCCTAAACCCTAAAGCCTAAAGCCCCTATCTTAAATCTTCCCTGAACCCTAAACCAATAACCCTCCCTAAGCCCTAGATCCAGAACCCCAGAAACCAGGAGCTCTTCCGGCGCTTGCGGCGCAAAGTACGCCGAGCCTTTCTCATGTGGATGTGGCCGTGGCCTCGCACAGGACCAAGGGCTCGTACGCTTATTGAGCTTCTACAAGGGTTTAATGACAAGGTGTCTTCACATATTTAAGGCGTGTCATAAGGATTCTATAAGGGATTCGAAGGGTTTAATGACAAATAAATTTTATGGCGCCTCGTCATTAGGGGCCTGAAAAGGGGTGTTACGAGGGATAAAAGCAGGGTTTAGGGTTTTGGGGTTTTGGGTTTAGGGGTTTGTTAACTCTAGCCGAAGCTTACTCTTGTCTGAAGTTCAACCCGCCCTTATCCTTACCCTGCCCTCAAGCCTGCCTTTAGCCATCACCCCAACCTAACCTTCAAACCTACCCTGACCCTACCCTTAACCCAACCCCAACCTAACCCTTCACCCTAAACCCTAAGACCCCTTAAGACGCCTAAGACCGCTACTTGGAGGTTCATGGGTAGTTTTAAGTAGGGTTATTAGTAGGGTAACCTAAACCCCAAACCCCTAAGTTCCCTAAACCCTAAGACCCCTAAGACACCTAACATCTCTAAGACCCTAAACCCCAAACTCAACCCATGACCCTAACCTACGACCCCTGAGACCCCGATATCCCTTAATTCAGGAATATATACGTTAAATTATAGTAGGAATCCCTAATATGATTTCAGGTCTATTCCTTAAATTAAGGGATATTGGAGTCTCTGGGCCCCGGAGACTGCCAACCCTTCACCCTAACCAAAGACCCTAAACCCTAAACCCTCAACCCTAAACCTAACCTAAGACCCCGGAGACCCGCGACTTGTTTCAACGGCAGGATCAAATCCCAAACCCCTACCCCTAAACCCTAATTCAACCCAAACCCAAAAACCCTCTAAAGCCGGCCTACTAATAATTAAAAATCCCTTAACCAGGAAACCCTATTAATTACTTAGTATAGATCCCTGTTATGGATATGGAATTAGGCCCCCCTAGAAACCCCGACGTTTCATCGGCAGGATCAAATCCTATTATGTACTATAGATCCCTATTGTGGTAACTTAAATAAATCCCTTAACCTAAACCCAGATTATGGAATTCGGTCCCTAGAAACCCCGACGGTTCATCGGCAGGATCAAGTCCCTCCCGCAGCTCACGCTCTGGCGGCCGACGGAAGACTCCGAGGTCGATGCTGATTTTCGGGTTTCAGGGTTTCGGATTTTAGGCTTGAGAGCACCCTTGGGCTCTGTCTTCAACCCACTCTTGTGTATCGTTCGTGGTCGCTGAACAAGGATCATGGTCCCTCTTGCTCTCTGCTGTCTGTTTTGCCGTTGGTTCGTGCCTGCTCGTGAATGCACACATGCTTTTAGGCTCTTGCACGATTTTCGCTCTGGACTTTCGGGACCGAGAGTGAGCTTTAGGGTTTTAGGGTTTCGGATTTTAGGCTTTAGGGCTTTAGGCTTTCGGGTTTCGGATTTCAGGCTTTAGGGCTTTAGGGTTTTAGAGTTTAGGCTTTTGGGGTTTCGGATTTTGGGCTTTAGGGCTTTAGAGTTTTACGTTTTGGTGTTTTAGGGTTTAGGACTTTAAGCTTTACGGTTTTAGGGTTGAGGGTTTTAGGGTTTAGGATCTGAGGCTGTTAGGGTTTTAGGGTTTAGGGTTTTAAGGTTTTAAATTTAGGGTTTAGGGTTTTAGGGTTAAGGGTTTTACGGTTAAGGGTTGTTGGGGGTTTTAGGCGTTTCTTGTGTATGCCCGTAGAACTTTCACAGGGTTTCTGACGATAAAAGGGTTTGGCAAGAGGTCCGGCAAAGCTGCTGAAATAATCGGGTTTGGATACTTCTACACAAGTGATCTGCGGGTCTGATTTATTGGTAATATTATGCCTTTATCGTCCCTATCTAGTCATATAGTTGTGCTCTAACAGACCCCCCGAACCTTTTTCTGCTGGAGTTGCGGCCCCTACGGTATGTCTTAAGTACACGTTAAACGGCTCCCCAAACCCTAAGCCCTAAACCCTAAACCCCAAGCCCCAAACCTCAACCTTACACCCTGAACCTAAACCCCAAAACCCAAAGCCCTAAACACCCCAAACCAAAACCCTAAACCCTAGGGTGGACATGGTGAGTAGGTACGTTGTAAACCCAAAGGTCGGTCCATGAAGTTCAAAGACTCCGAAGCCGTTAAGATTACAGAATCTACATGGGTAGTTCTCTGAATTAGGGTTCCCTTTAGGCTCCTTTTATAAGGGTGCCGTACTATATTTGGGACCTAAAACGGGGCCCTACCCATCTACCGGAGAGGCTCCAAAATCCCTTAATTAATGAATATACCTTAAATCATATTCGGGATCCCTACTACAATTTCAGGTATATTCCGTTATTCAGGGATATTGGAGTCTCTGAGTTTACAGAATTCTACCTTACATTATGCCAAGCATCCTCTGTGGTTTAAGAACCTGTTTCGCTGAACTTGGAGCGGAATTTTTAAGGTGTATGGCTGAAGTTGGAGTGTTGGAGTTAGGCGTAAAACTTACAGCCTAACTTGTTTACTGGCAGTACGCTGCAGGCCCTTCGTGCTGGGCGTGCTGTCGCGAATCGCATAAAGGCCACATCATCACGGGTTGAGATGCTCTGTACACAGTGGGCCCAAAGACCCTAGTAGCAAATGAAAGAAGCTTAGTTCTCCAATACCCAACCTTTAAACTCTTGGGTTCTTATCATTTAGCGCTTTTTGGGTAGATTTGGACCAGGTTTCAGGAAGCGCAAGGTTTTTGCAAGTTTCGAAGGAGGGATAGTAGGAGGTCGAGGGATTGGGAAGGCCTTGGTAAAGCTTATGCAGTTCTGCTGGGTGTTGGGTTCAGGGTCTCCCGGCTATTGTTCTGAATCATCAGTAATGAATCGTAACCCCTTGTCTTCTCTCTCGCTCCCGCTCCCGCTCCCGCTCTCGCTCTCGCTCT